GCCTGGGGTCCTGGCAGCGAGAAGGGGTGTGGAGCCGTTGCACGGGGAGCCCAGACTCCTGGGTCCCACTCTAGTGGGATTTAGTGGGGTAGAGCTGGGGCTCGGACTGGAGGGAACCTGCCCAGCTGGGCGAGGCAGGCAGGATCGGGCCCTTCCCGTGTGTGCAGGGAAGGGGTGGGGGGGTGCGTGGTGTCGCGTGTCCCCGCTGTTCCGGTTTCGCACTCGGGCCACGGCTCAGGTTCAAAGTGGCCTCGGGTCCTGGTCCATGATTCATGCTCCTGGCTGGGCCCCGTGGCCCCCCCCCCTGCTCCAGCTGGACGCGGGCGCTCGAACCTTCCAGCTCTCGTCGGAGCCGGACGCGCTGCCAGCGCTGATGGGGGGCGGGGAGCCCCGGACTCCTGGGTCCTACCCTAGCTTGGGGAGGGGGCCGGGGCCTGGGGCTGCAGCTGCCCCCAGGACTCTGGGACGAGAGCAAAGCAGGGTTGGGGGGGGGTCGGGACTCCTGGCTTCTATGCCCGAAGCTACGGGTGTCTCGGGGACGGGGGGAGCCCTCCTGCCTCAGTTTCCCCATGGGCAAAGCCTGCCCCTGCTAGGGGCTCCGAGACCCCGGGGCGAGAGCAGCCAACGACGAGGTAACCCCGGAGCCGCAGGCGCTTCTGACCCCCGCACAGCAATCCCAACTCAGCGCCCCCCAGCAGCAGAGCTCCAGGGAGTAGAAGGGGATGGGGGGCTCCAGGCAGGCCCAGCAGCCAGGGCCCCCCTTGGCTTCTCCCCGCGGCTCATGGGGGAGAGCAGTGACCCGGAGGCCTGGGGTCCTGACCCAGCAGCAGGCTCCAAGCCAGGAGATGGCGGGGGGCGGGTATGAGTGTCCCTGCAGCCGCCAGGCTGGGAGTCCTGAATGGCTGGTGGGGGGCGAGGGGGGGTGTGAGCTGGGGCGGCTATTAATAAAATGCCAAGTCAGAGCCGGCAGGCATCAGCCGCCCGAAATACCCCTGCTCCTCCCCTGACCCCAGCACGCATGGCGCCGATCCAGTCCCGTCCAGCCCTGCGCCGTGCCGCGCGGGGGGGGCTGGGCCGGGCCGGGCCGCCCTGTGTCGTCATGCCCAGGATCGGGGCCGTCTGTACATGCCTGCGGCTGGGTACGGGCTGGAAAAGCCCCCGAGGGAAGGCGTGGGTGGGTGCGGGGATCCCATGTCCTGGCAGTGAGTGGGGCTTGGGATAGTAAACGTGTGTGTGCACGTGAGCCAACACATGGACACACACCAACATGCATGTACACACACACACAGGTCAGCATATGGACATGCATACACATGGGCTGGGATATGGACAAACATGCACTAGCGCGTGTGCACACCCATGTGCCAATAGATGGGCATGCCAACACACACACATGGGCTGGGCTATGAACTCATGCACACGCACACACACAGGCCAGCACATGGAAGGACACACACCCAGCATGGGGCATGGACACACACGCCAAGAGATGGACAAGCCAGGATATGAACATACATACACGCCAACAGATGGATATGCCAACACACACACATGCACATGGCCAGACACACACATGGGCTGGGATATGGATGCACACACCAACACATGTGCCAACAGACAGACACACACCAACACACACACAGCTGTTGGCACATGGATGCACAGGCCAGGATGCAGCCACACACACATATGCACACGTGCCAACAGCTGGATGCATGCCAATACATAGACACAGGCCAGGATATGACCGCACCCCCTAACCCCCCCTGCCTTCGACACACACATAAATGGGCCAGGATGTGAACACACACACACACACACACAGGCCGTCTCATGGACACCCCCCTCCCCTTGCAGGGCACACAGCCCGGCCGCGGGTGCTGAGTCACGGCGCACAGAGCAGGGCCCAGCCGCATCATGCCGGCGCCCAGCTGGCCCCAGCCCATCCCAACACCCCCAGCCTGGGGCTCCCAGCTCGGCCCCCCCAGGCAGAGCCATGGAGGAGCTGTGGTGGCTCCAGCCAGGCCCCCCGCTTCTCCCCCACCTCCAGGGAGCTCGATGGATCCCGGACGCCTGGGTCCCCTCCCTGCCTCCCCTAGCTGGGGTGGGGGTGGGCCTGGACCAGGGGGCTGTGATGCTCCCCCCCACCCCAGCTAGGTGCCCCCTTTATGGGGGCTGCTGAGGGACCAGGGGGACACAAGCTGGGGCATGCCAGGCTGCGATCACCCCCCTCCCCACCCCATGCCCTTGTCTGGGGTCCGGCCGCCCTGGCAGCTCCAGGCAGCAGCTGCGCGTGCGAGGAACGCGGTGAGTAAGGCTCACACGTGTGTGTGCGCGCGGTGACAGGGACACGGTGTGCTTCATGCTTGGGCCAGGACAGACCCCCGCCCAGAGGCAGCTGGACACAGGAGCCCTCCGAGCCGGGCAGCTACCAGCCCCCCAGCCCATGGGTGCCCCCGTGCCCACCCCCCAGTGACGTGGCCCAGACACGGATCCAAGTGCTGAGAAAGTTGCTTTACTGAGTGACAATGGAGAACCAGGAGAAGGAGCGGGCTGGCACCCCCGGGCGGGGAGGAGGAGGTGGGGGAGCAGCAGGTGAGGGCAGGCTGGGCGCAGGGTCTTGGGTGCCCGCCTGCGCGTCCTCTCATGGCTGGCTCAGAGCTGAGGGCCACGGGGTTGCGGGAGGATGGCGAAGGATAGGCCCTCGTGGCACTTGGCGACACGGGCACATGCCGGTGGCTGCCACCGGCAGCTCTCCCATACCCCCAGGGAGCAAATAAATAAATAAGCAAGCACAGGAAGGGGCCGGTCCCTCCCCCCCAGGACTCCCCGAAGCTAACCCTTATCTTGAGGGTCTCCAAACCCCCCACCCCGTGGCTGCAGCTCTCTTTGGCGGAAGTGGAGTTATTGCAGCGGGTCCGGCGGGGAAGGGAGCCGCGTGCGGGGCAGCGCCATGCCAGATGGGGCTGGGGGTGGACCCGTGTGTATTGCTCTGTTGCCCCACCCCGGCTGGGTGAGGGGCGGGGATGGTGGAGGACAAGACTGGGGCCCTGGGTGGGTCCCTGGGGGAGGGAGGGGGGTGACCCCCTGCCCCCCCCAAG